GGATCGATAAACATAGCAAGTTCGTCGTTGCTGAAGATTTTTGTCTTTCCGTCGAAGGAAGGATCTGGAGACAAATGTTTGTGTTCTTCCACATGCCAGTGTAGCAGAGGATTCACAAGCTCACATCCATCTAACTTATTGTTGTCATCGCTGTCGTGCATCTTGAAATACAGGAACCTCAGTTCATCTTCAGCCATCTGGTTGACGTCTAGTTGGCCAACAACATCTTCCAAGTGGTGTTGAATGTGACCGAGCTCCTGTGCCAAAGACGTTGAAGTCAATATTGCCGATTTGTTAGAACGACGTTTATAAGCAGTTGGAGACCTGTGGCATAATCCAAACTGGAAAACAGATAAGGCAAGGGATAAAATCAACAATAATTCCATTTTAAAAAAGCGTGCAAGAAAATTGCCTTTAAAACCTGTCTAAAAAAAGCTAATCTCTAAGCTTTCTAGCAAGGGGAAGAATAACTGCTACCACACAAGTTGTTACTTTTATACCTCCACTGCTTCAAAATTAATCGCAGTGAGAGTACAAGTACAGTTAAAAAAATTTTAGACTATAACAACCATCAAATATTTTTTTTAAATTACTTTCGTCAGTTTGCTGGTTCAAGTCCATTGAAGAATCTCTGAGCTTTCGCAACGAAATACTTCAGATTAAAATTAGCAGTGTACTAATTTATACAAGATTCATTCATGAATAAATTTGCATTGCTATTTGTTCAATACAAACAACCAATTAATGGAAGGTCAAATAGTAGAAATTACGGTATGATACTTTAATTTACGTCACACTTGAGCTGCACAATGGGCTATAAGTGAGGGTTTGGGAAATATCCTTCAGGATGATCTGGGGATGGCATACATACGTCACATCCCGTTTTGCAGGAGAATACATTCACACACCATCAATCCATCCGCAGATCGTAATTTTGACTTGAACCAAAGCGAGATCAATCTCCGATTCTGTACTCTCAGAGGTATTGATTTGTTATGGGAACTTGGAAAACTTTGTGACTCCAAGAGATTTAGCTTGCACCAGTCACCATTTTGTACAAGGGGAGTCTTCGGCAGGGGTGTATCGAATTCATGACCTTTCAGACATAGGACCAACGTCCAACCACCCAGACTATACTAGCCCTGCAGAAATTACAGACGGACGCATCTAAAAGAGTGAATAAAATATAAATCTAGAGTTACAAACCCGATACCTTTCTGCTTCAAATGGTTAAGTGAGAGGGAGGGTATCACCAAGTGTAATTCCCGCGATAACTCTATATATTTTATGTCACTATCTGCTTTCTATCTGCTAACTCGACAAAGATTTGTGATTGAAACCACAAGCATTATGATTTATATACAATTATGAATAAACAAAAATATAAGATTGAAATGAAGGTTAGAAATATATTCAGTCAACGACACTCTGAAGATTTTTTAAACAAGACATCGTCTCCCGAGTTAATTTCGGGCTAGTGGGAGAAATAAACTTACTTGATTTCCATTATAATCTCGAAGGAACTCGTTAAATCTGCCTGCCTGAAAATCCTCTCGTTGGTTGTGGTGTGGAAGTTCGGAGAGAGGGGTACCAGCTCAGACACTGCCCACGTCATCTGACCGGGATCAAAAATGTGTGGTGGACAAAAGATACGGTACGGCACGGTACTTTCATTTACGCCATTTTAGAGTTGCACAATAGGCTACTGGCGATGATCTAGGAAGCATCCTTTAGAATATTCCGGAGACAACATACATTCATCGCATCCCATTTTTCAGGATGGACACACAATTCACCCATCCACAGATCGTAATTCTAACAAGAACCAGAGCACTATCGATTTCCGATCCAGTCCCCAAGAGGTATTGACTTATTATGAAAACATTTAGGGTTTTGTAACCCCGATAGATTAAGCGCTCACCAGACACCATTTGTACACGGGGAAACAAAGTGGATCGAACTCACGACCTCTTGGACAGGTACTCAACACCCTACGAGCCAGGGGACCGAGCGGTATCACCCGCCAAACGCTGTACAAAGTGTGGAGGCAGCGGGTTCGAATCCCACCGTAATGTCCCTTCGTGATGTCCTTTAATGAATTGTTCCTATCTGTCTTTCTACTTGGGAAAGGCTTATAAGCCTAAATTGAGCATACAAGCCTGCAAATGTCTGTAATTTCAATAAAGCAGTAAACCTACGAGTTAGGTCATCCCAACTCGATGGTCAAAAGGTAGAACCCTGATGGGAAAAAAAGGCAGCTAGGTGCTTGACCATGGTAGGTTTTGTGGTATGTTTGATAATCTTATTGTGATCTCCTTATTTCATTCCAGTTACCCATCTTGTATGACAAAGTTTCATAAGAATTTGTTTAATAACATTGTGCAAGTTTAAATGAAACAAACAAATATTCTGGCTCAAAAACCTGTGATCTATTCTATTGCAGACTAACACTTAAATCTCTTGACCATCACTGTCGGTTAAAAACAAGCCTGCATATTAAAGTATAAATAAATAAAGTAAATAAATAAATCACCCTTACGTAAGGCTAACCATAAATTTTATTTTGTGATACTTTTGCATTATCTGACAAAGGATTAAAAGAGGAATTCATCTGCCAGGGTCATTCCTTTTCTTATTCAACACGGGATTTGCGATCCTAATAATCTTTCTTTTCTTACTTTTGCCTAATTTTTATCAAACTTAATTGATAGCACGGTGTGACTGACTCTGCTATTTTGAACAGGTAGTTTCCTTTAGCGCAGTATAACATATTCGAGCTTATACATAGTGGATTCATTTTGGAACTTTTTCACCTGTTTGGAATGTATTCTCATTGCATAGACTTAGTTTGAAAGCGAAAGTGATCCAATCACTGAATCAATATGATTATCTTTAGTTAATTTGTCCCTCTAAATTACCAGATATATTTGGGACACAAAATTTTTACAATTTCTGCAGGCTTTTGAAATCTATAATGACTTTATATATGTATTGACAGATTCTCAGGACATGAAGAATTTCGATCTCTTGAGTTGTAGCACTTTCCGGGGTAACAGAGAGCCCCGCACTATTTCACTACGTAGTTCATTACTTTTAGTGCTTTAGGGTAGTGAACCTGTACTTTGACAAAATGTTTTCAAAAATGTATTCTTTGCAACTCCAACGTAACGTTCAAACAATCTTTGAAAAAGATTAAATTTTGTCTAAGATTAAAAGGGGGGAAAACTGGTCAGTTTGGATGCGAAATAAGGGATTTTCATTAACTCAACAAGTTTCAATAATGTTTAGTTGATATTCATAAGTAGATATGTATATATCTACAGCACTATAGCTGAATAATGGGCTAATGGTGACTGTCTGGGAAGCATCCCTATGTATAATCCGACATACCATTACAATTTGTGAGGCCACTTCCTCAATTTAGGCATAGATCTGAAAGAGAAGGAAATTTTTTCCAGATCTCTGTGCCCATGGTACTGTTCAGTAAACGATCACATGACTTTCGATTCCACAGATTTTACGAGCACGTATATCGCATATACTTGGTCAGTCTTAGGGAAGTCGAGGATCGAACCCCGGTCCCTCCGGATCATGGACCGATTCTCTAACCACTAGGCTACCACGGCCCGGTGAAATTTATAAAAACTCTTACATCGTCGTTTCGTTGTATTTCAACAAGAATAAGAAATTGCAAAAAATATATATCTTTAATTTCTTTTTCCCCCACGTATTCCTGTCCTTTTGTTGTTGTTGTTGTTGTAGTTGTTGTAGTTCATTTACGTCGCACTAGAGCTGCACAATGGGTGTATTGGCGACTGTCTGGGAGACATCCCTGACGATGATCCGAAGACATGCCATAACAATTTTGATCCTCTGCAGAGGGGATGGCACCCTCGCTTTGGTACCCCAACGACCAGTACACGAAGTGGAGCACTTTACGGTAGAGCAGTTTATCGAGAACCAATACCGCGCACCCTCGGTCTCTATGCAGACTGATTCAAGTGTCACCCCCCCCCCGAAAATTGCTGTCTTTTTTAAAGGAAGGAATACAGTAATAAAGAAAAATGCTTCGTTTGGTTTAGAAATTAAAAAAAAACTTTAATTTAAAATTAAACAGAAAGTTATGCAATCAGTTTGAATCACTCAGTTAAAGTCAAAGAAATAGCAAAGGACTTGCAAAACAAAATTAATGAGTTGAATTAGAAAAAAGAAAATTCAGATGGTTTTAGAACTAAACAATAGTACTTCTAAAAAATTGCTTTTCATCAGCAAAAATAAATAATTATTCACAGAGTCTGAGATAGTTTATTTATCGCTAACTTTATAAATATAAAATGCTCTTTTCAAAAATTACTTCAGAATATATACTTGTCTACCAAAATTCCTTTATGCAAATTTATCTATATTTATTAAAAGATGTTAGAAGTTTGAGAGTTCCAACCTTATTTTGAAAAATAAATTCCAGAAATTTAAATGCATTCTCCATCAAATCAAAAACAATTTTCGCTCATAAAATTCGGAATATAATTCTTATAAACAATAGGGATTTCTTCAGACTATAAAGGGAGTTCATAAAAAATTCTCATTAGCAATTAGGGATTTTTCATTCTTTGGAAACAAATTTGGTCAGCATTTAAAAAGAGAACAAACTCCAACATCAAATCAATTTGGCGACAAAAACAAAAGTGGCGCAGTGAGCACTAATTAAGGCATTCACGCGGATTCGAATTCATGGTAAGAAATGCAATTCCAGCCAACAAAAGATTTTGCGCCATTTTTATCCAATAGAATCATTTCACCTCTTTTAGAAACAAATAAAAAAAAATTCTCAAATTACACGCATTAGATATTTTCCACTGATGTTGTATAAAATATAGAAAAATGCAGAAACATCGATACAAATTCTTAAGAAATATTTGAAGAAGCGTATGAACAAATATTCTTTTAAAAATTAATTTATCGTCAAAGAAAAGAACTTTCGACAAAGAACATAGAAAGAGATCCGGATCATAGAAGCATGAAACCGCTATTTCTCTCTCTTTTTTTTAAAAACAGAATGCGAAGAATAAATTTTTATTTTTTTGGAAAAATTAATGCTATTAATTAACAATTACGAAGTTTAAAAATTTTTTTGTGAGGTCTAAAGATTATGGCGTTATTTTTGTTTGTTTCAAAACATGTTTGGCTGGCATTCTGAAAGTTTTTCAAATTAAATTTAGAATTGAAAAAGACATTTTTCTAGAATAGTTATAAATGAGGAGAAATAATAAAGATATCATTTTTCTAAAAATTTTCAGTCGCAAATATGATATTGTTTTTTTTTATGCTTCAAATGTTAAATTATTAAAGCTTGTGTTTGAAACAAAATCTTCAGAATAATAAGCCTTCATTCAAAATTTATTATTATTTTTTTTTCAAAATCGTTTTCTATTACGGATATAGTTCTAAAATTAGAATATCTATTCAAAGTGGAATGTT